ATAGTCTGATGTTAGACTTGAAAGACAGTTTACGTCTTGTAAACATGTTCTGTGTTCTGTTTCAGGCTTTTTTTTTAATATAACCAAACTGAAGAATTCTCAGGAAGGAACAACGACACTAGTAGGAGTGGAAGAATAACTCCCACATTTTAAGGAGAAGATCAACAGAAAAAACTGAATGGGAGGTGACTACATTTGTAAACTGAATGTGATGTCTACCCGACTGCCCGCTTCCCAGTGTGCCATGTGCCATGCACAGAGGCTGCCCGTGCCACTTGTGGCATCCATGAAACAGGTTGGCCATCCTTGTTCCAGACCATGAAGTACTTAGGTACTCTATGGAAAGTACTCCAGCCTACTGAATGGCAGCAATTTGTGTCACTTGTACGTTCTGACCATGAAGAAAACGATGACAAGACCAGTTAGCCAACAGAACCCAAACAGAGAGAACCTCATGCAGCATAACATGCTAGATTTGATGATGTAGGTCTTAGTCCTATGTATTATGTTCCACTGGGGCCAGGGAAGGAATTATTCCTAAAGTTAACCTCCCATCCCCTGAAAAAACAAACGAACAAAAAATCACATTGACATTTGGAACAGTGGCTTTGTAAACATGAATAATAGTAATAGCCAGGGATCTGGGTTTTCTGTTTTCTGTGGAAAAATGCATATTTTCTCAAAATTGGGAAACCTTGGGTTTTCCCTTGCAGGCTGGCAGAGTTTTAGCCTGCAAGGGGTGGGGGAGTAGGGTTAGGGTTAGGCAGTATGGTGGAGAGCACCTCCTACAGCTCCCTGCAGGTAAGCCTATGGGAGTGGGGGGCAGGATGGGAGCACAAGTGATGCGTCGGAGGTGGAGGGGCACAGATAATGTGTCCCCCAGATTTCTGTGCCCACAGTGAGGCACGGGGCTGCAGTGAGAAGCGGAAGGAGAGGGAGTGCTGTGCAGCCATGGATACAAAGGTGAAGTGCCCCCTGCCCACCCAGCAGCAGTTGGGTGCACAACTCCATGCTGCTGCCCCTGTTTCTTTCCCCACAATGTGTTGTTTGTGTCCACACCCCACCTTCCCTGCACACTCACCCCCTTCTTCCCATACTGGGGCCTGGGGGGAAGTGGGGTTGGGCACTAGCAGGGCTGGGGGAGCTGTGGGTCGGGAATGAGGGACACTGGCATGGGCAATGGCAGGGCACCCATATATAAGGGTTGCTCAGAACCACAAAGCAGCAGGTGGGACAGCTGCAGCTGGACTCGTGTCCTGATGAATGAAAGGGGCGGAGCTCTGATTTTCCATGATCAAAAATCCAAAATCAAACACCAAAATATTCAGGTATTTAGAATTTTATTATAATGACTGAGTCACTGGTAGGCTTCCAAATTGCTCTAAAATTGTAAATATATCAATAAAGCATAGTGTTAAACTGATACCTATATGTACCTACATAGGGAGGGTGTGTGTGTGTGTGTGTGTGTGTGTGTGTGTGTGTGTGTAGTGGCATTTCATTTCATCCTAATTGTGGAATAATGCAGATTTTACATTTTTATCAGAGAACTTGGGGTTTTTTATTGGAGAATTTGGGATTTTTTTAAACGGAGAAAACCAGGATCCCTGGTAATAACACTTGAAACCAGGAACTTTAATGGACTAATCATTCCCTTTTAACTTCTCTCCATTTAATTTTATAATTTGAAATGACCATAGATTAAGGATTTGGGGCTGTTTCCTTTTGCTATTCAAATTAGCTGAACATGACATCTAGATAATTTAAACCTCACTACAGTTAAATGAAACTTAATGGTTCAGACTGTTGGTGCAGTTTATTTCACAAGCACAAACTTGTACATGCTGGTGAGTCAGGAGGCTGTGACACAGAAGTCATACCTTTGTATATCATCATTATATCACAGGAAAAAATATCAAGTCTCTAAACTTTTCACAGGCAACAAAAGCAATTTTAAGACCCATGAAATTTCACATCACTTACACAAGTACCTTTGTAAAATTGGTGTGGTTCTAAACTTATCCAAATAGATGATAAACCTGAAGCTAATGAATACATCCCCTAGAATAATAAAGGTTGAAAAATATTTCACAAAATTGAAATGGCAATTTAAATTAGAAATATGGGGCTATCCTTTAGGAAACAGGATTTTATTATTTATGTAGTATTTTTGGTATACAGGATACTGTACAATAGATCAGTGTTTCTTAGCTGTTTCAGGTTGGCAAGCCCTTACTCAAAGTGAAAAATCTTCATGACCTCCTGAAACATGTTATAAAAGTAAAAGGTTTATAACATTTATAATAATGATAATTCTTCTGATGAATACTTCTTGTTTTGAATGGTAAAGGTGTGCAAGGAGTAGGGGAACAAGATACTGCTTACTTCTGATGCATAACAGAATTTTCAACACCTTCTGATCACTTTTGTAGGAGTTGCAACCCACCACCTGACTAACACCACCAACCCACCACCTGACCAACAACCACCACCACCACCAACCCAACACCACCACACTGCAAAAGATCATGGTTTTGTAACTAGGTGGTGCAACTACTTTCCAGACCGGTCACCTTGATCCAGCCTAAATGAGAGCAGCATGTTATATGGAAAAAGTTTAGAGAACTATGTATATAGATGAAGTGTCTTGTACAGTTACCAGATCCTGGATCTGAGGATCTTACAATCCAAAAGACCTAGCTAGTACAACACAAAATGTGAGTGCTTCTCAGTCTGATTACCTCAGGAAAAGGGGTTCTTTAGAAGTTTTATTGGAGAGGGAATGAGCTTCACATACATTAGATGGAAAGCTATTCTGGGTGGCACCATGCCATAGAAACCTCAGTCAAAAATGGGCAAAACAAAAGATTTGTTAAAAGGCAACCCTGTGGAGGATATGAGGGCATAACATCTTGGAAGATAGTACAAATGCTTACATTTAACAAGACAGAAGCTGACAGGGGAGGATCTGGGGGAGAGCACTGGTGCGCTTGCACCCCACTTTGATTACTGCTCCAGCCAAAGTTTAAAAGCACCTGCCTGGCAGTGGTGGCAGTATTTCTAGTCAGGCAGTGCTGAGGGAGTCAATTGACTTCATGGCTCATTATAATCTACCGGATCCTTTCTAAACTCTTCAATCCATAGCTGTTACCAGCCCTCTTCTTTTTAATGGTCTTCATGTTCCACCAATCAAGCTCTCCTTTGTTCTGCAATTCTGGTCTCTCCACAGCCCTGCAGATTGTATTCAACTCACTCCAACTAAGATATATTTGTTTTTGCTTCTAATAGAAATGGAATCATACAGCCTTAGACCCCTAGTGTCTTAATAATGCTATTTCTTAATGTAGTCTTAATGTAGTCTATTTCTAACTGGAGAAAAATTGTGTTATATGTGATGATGCACCTCACCATCTGCACACCCCTTTTCAAAATCCTAGAGCTTGCCACGGAAGCTGCCATAAGACATGCAGCAAAGAGGAAAGAGGGTGAGGCGAGCAACGGATGCCCAGCAAGTTTCACCCATGATAATCCATTTCTCTTCAGCAATTGGAAGTGATCAAAGCCATCCCCTGAGGCTGTATCAGGCACTTGGGGCTCAGCTCCAGCAGGCCTTTTGATGCTATGCTGTTCCAGAACGTGGGACACAGCCAACGGAGCAGAGCTAGAAGCCCCCACTCAATAAGGATGGCCACTAAGGACGTGTCAGTGACCGCTTGGGACAACCAAGACAAAACAGCGATGGGGGTGAGGGTCACAGGTTCAAAACGAGCACAGCCAGTGGGGACGGGGAGCAGAGGACACCGGACAGTGCCCACAGGCCCCTGAACCAGTTGAAGGAGCCAGTGGACACTGCCTGGAGAACAGAGGAGGGATGGGAAAGTGAGGTGATACTTCCCCTCTGTGCAGCACTGGTCAGGCTGCAGCTGGAGCATTGTGTCCAGTTCTGGACACCGCACTTCAAGAGGGATGCAGATAACCTTGAGAGGGTCTAGAGGGCCCCTGGTATGGTTAGGGGCCTGCAGGTAAGATCCTATGAGAAGAGATTGTGGGACCTTGAATCTCTTCAGCCTCCACAAGAGACAGCTGAGAGGGGATTTTGTGGCCGCCTAGAAGTTCACTGGGAGGGGCAGCAAGGAATAGGGGATGCTCAGTTTGCCAGGCACCCCTTGGGGTTACTAGGAACAACAGCCACAAACTGATGGGGAGCAGATTTAGATTAGACAACAGGAAAAAATTCTTTATGGTGAGGGTTGCCAAAATCTGCAATGGGCTCCCAAGGGAGGTGGTGCTTCACCAAGAGCTTGGGGGTCTTGAAGAGGAGGCTGCACAAGCACCTGGCTGGGGTTGTGTGACCCGCACGTGCTTTCCTGCCCAGGCCGGGGGTCCCCTCCGACCCTACAGCTATGAAAGTGGCCCTGCAGCCCTGGGGGGTCCTTCCTCCCTCCAGCCTGGTCAGGCGTACCGTGGCCAGGGCCAGGTGGCCCAGGAGGGCCCGGGGATGGGGGTGCATAAAGGCGCAGGCAGCCAGGAAGGGTGCAGGGAGCGAGACACCCTCCCGCAGGCCATCTCCCCAGGCGGGGCGAACCGCGCTGCGCCGCACGACGCGCCCCACCCAGGCAAGGCCCCGCGGGCGGACACGGCCTCCCCGCGCCCGGGGAGAGCAGCCGCACGGGAAGGCGGCCCTGGCCCCGGTCCTGCCCCAGCCTCCCCAAGATGGCGCCGGCCCCTCCCC